CCGATTTTACAGGGTGCCAATTTTAGATATCAAGAAATATAAATCACATGTTCGTTTTGCTGCCCAATCTCAACAAGATGGCATTCAAATCTTTACACTACGACGTTTCGTTTCTTGGAAACCATCATTAACGATTTTTTTTCAAATACGCACCTGGTTTACATCAAATATCAGAAAACCACGTCCTTGAATTAAATTGATGATGAATACGGAAAAACGAAACGTAGGATTTTAACTTTATTGCCGCCATATTTTGAGAAAAAAATTCCACATTGCCGTTGTTACTTTTTTCTTCTCTACAAGATGGCAGTATTAAATTTAAATTCCAAAGTTTTTTTCTTCTGGAATCAACATCAATTTATAGCGTATTTCATTGGTAGAGCAAGTGCAACACTCATTTTGCACTGACACCGTTCTCGTGCTCCAACCCTTAAATCTCAAATGGCAATAGTGGTCAAGCGATATCTCATTCCAAAGGTCATCGAATTCTCTTTTCAACGGCGGTGTCTATTTTTTTGAATTTGATGCAGTGGTTTTTGAGAAAACGCCTTTAAAAATAGACGGTACTAGTACTGCTTTAGTCATTTTAAGCGCTATCAATTTTGTAGTTGTAACAATTTTTATTTAAGAAGTGATTTTATGTGTTTTTTTTTAGGTCGTGTCCTATCCAACTTGAAATCACAAGGTTTAAGTGTAGGTTTTCTTTATCACTCAATAAAATTCAACTAAATACATTCTAATTTTAAATACACACATCAAAATAGTCTAGGGAACAAAATGCAACTGAATACATTTATAAATTGAACAAAATATACTTTTAAAAGATTTTTAAATTTTGTTAAAGCCTGCTGGAAAAGCCGATATGATAAATTTTACAAGATTTGTTCAACAAATACCCATATGGTATCTTTTCAAAAAAAATTATTCTGTCTAAAATTTAAAAGACGAATATTTCTTGTTCCCTAGACTTTTTTGATGAGTGTATCTTTGAAAAAAAAAACTTAGTAAATTCAAAAAACTAGGCACCGTTGAAAAGAGAATTCGATGACCTTTGAAATGAGGTATCACTTGATCCCTAATGCCATTTGAGATTTAAAGGTTGGAGCTTACCCCCGCAAGAGGGTTGAAGTGACAACATTGAAAATATGTGCAAAAAATTTCCCCCTCCGAATAAAAATCGACGGGTCCGAGCGATTTTTTTCAATGAACGATGAATACGAAATATCGGCCTTGTTTCGTTTTCATCGGCCAACCCTGTATATAAAAAATAGTTGGCAGTTGGGTTGGTTGAAAAGCCCATAACTCGAGAACGGCTGGACCGATCTCCTTGAAATTAACACCACGTATTCTCTATATAAAGGGAAGTGACATAGCCAACTTTTTGTCCCGGAAAAAAAATTTATTAATCAATAACTATAAACAAACTCATTCACATACATAACCCAACTTTTTTTTTTGACAACATGAAACAACGTTGCCACATTTATTTAAGTTTGCGCATTCAACCGACGTAACTGTTTTTCGACAACGGCTAGGCCGATTTTTATGATTTTTGTTCTGTTGGATTCGTCTTTGCCTTTCATAACATAACAACCATTGGAACATTGAAACATAGAAAAAAAACCAAGCAAAATAAGTTTATGAAGAAAATTCACTAAATATGCATACGGCGCCATCTCCTATAACCGTTACAAAGTTTGCCGCGTCAGATTGCGCCGTTTGTTCCATTTTGATTTTTGTACATTTAATGAACTAATTCATTTTTAGTAGGTGTTAGGTATCTGTCAACAGATATTCGGCTGGTACTGTTGGTAGATGACAGACAAGTAGAAAGATTGTCAAGCGTCTATTAAATAAGTACTTTGAGTCTACTGTAAAAAGCTATAATAAATAGACTAATCATACCAACAGAAAGTTGTTTAATATTGGAAGAAACAAGACAAAACATGGTGTCAGGTGTGAATCAATTGGAATAGTTTCAAAATAAGAAAAACGACTGAGTGAGTAAAAAAAAAACCTTTTAGTTTAAAATATAATATCACTTAACAGTTAAAACTTCCTGGTTAAACACGTGATAAGGAGAATATTAACAAAACAAAGACCAAAATGGATTTCAAACCTCCACCACTGTTCACCTCGTATGATAATCCTGCAGACAATTGGGGTCTGTGGAAACAAAAATTTAAGTTATATTTAACTACAACTAAAAAGCATTCTGCCGCAGAGGACGTTAAAATTGGCAATACTCTGTGTTGTATTGGTGATGAAGGTTTGGATATTTTCAATACCTTCACTGAAGACCAAGAGTCCACCGTGGAAAAACTAATAAAAGCCTTTGATGAATACTTCCTTCCAAAAAAATTTGTCCCTATGGAAACATAAAAATTTCACACATTAATACAAGCTGAAAATCAGTCTATGGATCAATACCTCACAGAACTAAAAAAACAAGCGAAATTGTGTGACTTTTATTGTAACAAAGACACGTGCCTAGAGTCATATGAAGAAAGAATGATTGGGGATAGACTAATAGTAGGTATTAATTGTAAAGGAAGCCAGTTAAGACTTCTACGAGAGACAGACCCAACAATCAAGAAAATAGTAGACTACTGCAAAAGTACTGCACTAAGCAAACAACATGTTAAAAGTTTTAAGCAAAGAAGAAGATGTTAACTTTGAAACCCAAGAAATATAAATGTAAGAAATGCCAATACGAACACTACCCAGACAAATGCCCAGCTGCAAATAAGGAGTGTATTATTGCAAAAGCTTGTTTTTTCCGGAACACGACAGACCCACAAAGTAGTTCTGAACAAAATCAAGCCAAAGTCAATCAAGGAACTGCAAAATCTGAGCAACAAAGTATAAACAGAAGAGTAAGGTATGTTGAACAGCAAACAAGTGACCAAGAAGATGATAATAAAGGTGAATATACTTTATTCATAAATGAACGTAAGATAGTGAAACTCTCTTCATGGTATGAAGTTATCCAAGTACAAGGACTTAGGGTAAAATTAAAACTTGATTCTGGTTCGGACACTAGTATCTTACCATTAGGCATTTTTGAAAAAAATTTAAACAAACCTTCATTCAAAAAGTCAACAATCACTTTAGTTTCTTATGGTAACTTCAAGTTTAAACCTTTGGGTGAGGTAAATTTAGAATGTTCTTACAGGTATGTAGGATGTAGTGTCACACATAAATTTTATAATGGTTGATTTTAATGCTGAAACTCTTTTAGGCTTGAAAGGTTGTTTAAAATTTCACTTGATCAAAAGTAGGCCAAGGCACTATCTATGTAATATTGTTAAGGATCATTTATAGATGCTAAAAACCCAAAAATGCAACATCTAATTACTTTTAGGGGATTTTATAAACAATATTTAGTGGAAAAATAGGGCTTTTTGTTGTTTATTTCACTGTATTTCGAAAACTAATGATCGGATGGTTTTGTTACTGTAGCAATAGTTTTAGAGTATTGAACAAGCTTTAAAATGAGCCATCATACAACCCTGTAGGTCTTTTAGTCTTCGAGAAATGATTTTTTCCCCCCAAAAAAGAGATTTTCGTAAAAAAATCCTAACTTTTTTAATTTTCATGCTAGACAATTAATTTTTTACACATACATAGTAGATGAGGCAGGCTTTATTGAGCCCAAATTTCGGCCCGGTCCGATGGGTCGTTTCGGCATAATACCCTTGTCAAGCAAAATGGGGATCCTTAACAATACTGCATCGATAGTTTGCTGTTAAATTTTGTGCTACGAAAAAATTTATCTGCCCTGGCCTAAAGAGTAGACAGTTGATAGATCTTTAAAACCAAGGATGAAATCTATGCAAAATACAGAGATATTTTTGAAGGTTTAGGGGAAATTCCAGGATTTTGCAATATTGAATTGCAGGAAAATGCTAAACCTGTAATCCAGTGCAACAGAAAAGTTCCTTTTTCTATTCTTGACACTTTAAAAACCACTTTAGAAAAGATGGAAAAATAAACGTGATAGAAAGAGTGAATTATCCCACAGATTGGGTTAACAGCCTTATGATAACTGGAAAACCTATCAATTGTCCAAATACTTTTTGCAATGAGTGGAAGAGAGACAAATACATTGTAGGCAATTATTATATCGTAAATAGTTGCAGATAAAATGTCAATATAAGTACAATCCTTAAATCTTATTCTATGGATTTGTCATCTAATTCGAATTTTGATTATTCCCGGCTCTTGATTCGCTCCAAATTATCCGATATTCAATAGAATTACAGACTGGACTTATGGTTTAGGTTTTAATTTAACGAGAGAGTCTGTTTAACGTTTAACAAGTATTTTAATAGTGCTACTATTTTCTTCGTGTTGATTTCTGTGTTAGGGTTTATCGAAATTAAGGTAGAAAAGGTACTATGGCTAAAATGGAAGAAGGTTCTCAAAAGGCCGATTTACATAATCTGCAAACTGTCAACGTTAATATGGTGTCAGAATTTTTAGTCAAGTGTCAAGACTTGAATCGAATCTGCCCCAGTCCAGTGGTGTTAAATTAAAACCGAGATTAAAACAGACGTATTAGATGTAGGTATTGAATTTAAACAGTGAAATATAGTTATTTACGGTAGGTACCACTTTTTTCGACTCGGTTTAACGCGCCAGCTGATTATTCGTTACGCACAGTGACGTCACAAGCGCTACTCTCGCCGCAAGGGGTCGTTTTGCTAGCCTCGCTAATTTCGTTTTTTTGTTTTCGATTTATCAGAAAAAATGAAGGGTTTCTAGATGTTTTAACGTTTAATACGTGTTTTGTGGACCTAGAACCACCACTTTTTATTACAATAATTGAAAAATAGTGAACATTCCTATTACTCCCCATATATTTATGAAAACGTTATGCCCATGAAAAATTTGAAAAGTTTATAACAATACAAAATGTTAGCTTTTAAGCCAATTTTCTGTTTCCCAACTCTACAAACTAAAACGAAATTATCGCATAATAAATAAAGCATACTTACATCATTTTCTAATAAATTGAACATTCCCATTTGAGCTAGATGCAGAGATTCGGCGAATTTTTCTTCTGAGGTTTTGATCTCCTCATCTGCAATATTTGAGCCTGTTAGATCGGTAACAGGTCAAAATAAGAAAAAAAAAGTGCAAAAATATAAAAAAAAAATAATATTTATTTATAAAATATGACTATCCTGTTTAATACTGGTCAATGTTAACATTAGAGCTAGTTTACACGATGATACTGTTAATGCCCCCACAGACGCTCAGTTATTTTGCACAGGCCGATTGCGCAAACCTGGTTTGTGCAGGCATATCGGCACGTCTGTGGATATTCGGCCAGTATATTCAATTGGCCTGAGTATATTCAAGATCTGCTCGAAATTTGGCCTGCACAAACCATTTTCACTACAGAGAATAAATATCCTTGAACTGCGTTTGTCGTCTTGTGTGCAAAGAATTGTGCTAAAAACTGAGCATGTGTGCGAGAGGCACAGGTTCAGATTAATTTTCGCAAATTGGCATGCACAGGCCGACTGTGTGAACCTGGTTTGTGCAGGCATATCGGCACGTCTGTGGATACTTTCGGCCGACTTTGCAGGCTGTTGGCCTGGCCTGAGTAAATTCAAGATCTGCTTGAAATTTGGCCTGCGCAAACCAACAGGCCTGAGCGTGTGTGTGTGTGTGTGTTCAGTCCATTTATTCAATTTATTTAGTCAGTCTATTAATAGCATTCCAAATAAACAAAATGTCGAACACAAGCAAACAATTTCTATGCGACTATAGAGAAATACACAAAACCTTTTCATGCTTATGGAAAATAAAAAGTAAGGACTATAGTGGTAGGAACAAGAAATCGGCTGCCTATGAAGTTGTCTTCTTAATTGCACAAGCAAGCAGAATGCAAGAACAAAGCTGTATTGCGAGAGGCCATTTTCACTGTAGAAGAAAAATAAGTTTGTATTTTGTCCTAAAAACTGAGCGTGTGTGCGAGAGGCACAAGTACAGATAAATTTGCGCAAATCAACCTGCACAGTCGGCATGTGCAAAATAACTGAGCGTCTGTGGCGGCCTTAAGCGTGATATGCGTATCTGAAATACAGGCTAAACATGTATGTTGAGCAGATTGAAATTACGCTTTACATTTTACAAGAAGCAAAAATAAAGGAAATACCACATAAAAAATAAAAATAAGAAAAATAATATTAATTCATACAGTAAAATAAAACGTCTATCTGTTTAATACTGGTCGATGTTAATATTAGAGCTGTTTCACACGAGAATACTGTAAGCGAGAAACGCGTATCTGAGATACAGGCTAAACATGGTATGTTGAGTGTTGAGCAACAAATTACGCTTTACATTTTACAAGGATGAAATTTTGAAAATAAATTTCAAATTTCTTACATAGATACCTACAGTTATTAAACCGAGTATGATTATGCTGGATTGACAGAGATGGTTGGAGATCAGGAATCGGAAGACGTAGAATGTTATACCCCGATAAATATAGGTAGCTACATACAGGGTCAGTAAAAAGTACTGCAACGTTTAAAAATCTTCAAAACCGCTTAAGCCGCGTTCACACAATTAGGAATCTGACCGTTTTTGGGCATGCGAAATTGAACAGTGCTATCGGCAACCATGATTGGCATGACATATATCAGCGAGAAATATCCTGATATATCTAAATTTTCGAATTTGCCGCCACAACAGTGAAAACGTGACCAATGTCAAAATGTACTTTTAGGTTATCGGACATGCAGGATCGATCGCACATAAGAAAAAATTCCATATCCTACAAATAAAAAAAATTCTCATATGTATCGAACATTATGGGGGACACTGTGTAGGAATGTAAAGTGTAGGTAAATAAAAATTCGAGTTAAATAATATGAAAACATTTATGTCATTTATACTACCTATGTTTGCCTTAAGCCGTGGTTCAACAACCAAAAAAGAATGACAACTTTGAACTCAATAACAGAAAGAAAACTACAAATAAAAAATCTAATATGTATTTCTTATACAGCAGCGTGCCGCGTGACCATACAAATAATATTGATATACAGGGTGTCCCACTAAGGTCGGTAAGGTACGATATTATGGAAACCATAGACCTTACGGCTTCGGAATTTATTTTTTCTTCAGTAAATCGGCCAAGAGAAATTGATGGCAATTATTTTCAAGTTTCTAAGATGACCGCTAGTGGGCGCAATTACGATGATATAACTAAAAATTCAAATTTTCTCAAGAAATCGCTATATTCAGATACAGTTTTGACAACAGAAATCAAAAGTTCATTAATTTTTGCGCCAGTTCGGTTATTAGGCTTTTTTCGCATCTTCACTAATAAGGGTGGGGGGAGCTGGTGAAAAAATAGTTTTAAAAATTGCTGTATCTTCTATACCCCTAATCCAAACTCATTCAATTTGGGCTCATTTGAAAGAGAATTTCATTGTTATTAAAAACCACTTCGTTCGGGGTCGATAGTGCCAACCGCGTCTTCTAGAGTTTTTTCTAATTTTCTTGAAAAATCCAAATGGCATGATATTATTTTTTTATTGCTGTGCTTAAAGAGCAGAAAAATATCTACAATTTGGCGCGAACCGCAATTCAATATCTGCATTCGTTTTCAAGTTATAAAGGTCTATGGTTTCCATAATATCGTACCTCGTCGACCTTAGTGGGACACCCTGTATATCAGGATATTTATAGCATAAATATCATGATATTTATCAAGATTGCTACAGAAAAGTTTGATGTGCTGATAGAATATTTTTATCTAATTCTCTAGGAATGATTCTAATGAATAATTTAAGTTTCTTTTACCAATACACATTAAATATTGAGGTACTTGGACTATTCCAATAATAAAAACTGTATAATATTATTTGATAAGAGATCCATGGCGAAAAACAAGTAATTTCCTATTTTTTGTTGCTTTTGCTCCAAATTTCGCAGACAGTCCTAAAACATAGTTCTAATCACTTTTTTCAATTAACTTTTTCCGATATTTTACCAACTAACCCCACTTTTCGCGTTTCCATATCTAAATTTTCGAATTTACGCCAAAACAGAGATCAAGTGATCGATGTCAAAATGTACTTTTAGGTTATCGGACATGCAGGATCGATCGCACATATGAAAAAATTCCATACCCTATAAATAAAAAATTTCCCCAATCCCCATATGTAGCGAATATTATGGGAGACACTGTATATGTATAGGAGATAGGAGCACTAAAACTTGTTATCGCCATAGCAACTTTACATGTTTGTAACATTTTATTAAATTTACCATAAAGTCATGTAGAATTTTGATAATAAAGATAACAGAAAACAGATTAACTAACCTAAATAATTAAAAATATAAATAAATATCCAGATGTTGATGTTGATATATTATACAATATCAGATATACCCACCATCAGCGTTACAGGCCATAACTTTCTTATTTTAAGAAATAAAAATTTAATCCAAAAAAAATTATTAAAAGCTCGAGCTTAACTCTTCAAAAATATAAATAAATATTCCCCTGATAAAATCATCCCCTATTTACAACCTTGACTTTTTCTTTTCAAATTGCACCCCTATTATTTTTTTTAAATTTTCGAGAGGCTCATGAAATTGCAAATTCAATGATGTATAAAAATTTTGTTTTTCCATGTTTCGTTGGAAAAAAAAAATCAAAAATGAAAATAATAGTAATGGGGTTCTATTTGAAAAAAAAAGGCAAGAGTTATTTTTAGGGGATGAGTTTGTTAGGTAAGATTTTTTTTTAAATATTTTTGGAAAGGGGTTAATTTGCACATAAATAATTTTTTTTGTCATATTGTATCTTTGTAGATTGAAAAGTGATCGCCTGTATAAGGCTAATTGTGGGACAACCATTTTTTTTCAGGCAAGGAAAAACAAACTTTTTATACACCATTTAATTTGTAATTTCATGAGCTTCTCAAAAACAAAAAAAAAAAATAATAATAATAATAATAATAATAATAATAATAATAATATATTTAAGCAATATTATGGAGTGAAATTTACAGTTTTATAATATATCACAATAATTCCTTATATAGCTAATCATTTCTTTTTTTTAATTGTGCACCTAGCCAAATTATTAGCTGTATGTGCCCATAGAATCATACGGTAATTCTCAAAGAAAAACACACTGGATGTAAAAATGTAAAATGAAAATATAGTACCTATGAAAAATAGTTTTGATACCATACTTAATCTAACTTAAACTATACTAAAAACTAAAACAGTTCAACAACCAAACAAATCAACTTGTAGTAATAACATACATATTTCCATCTTTTTTTTTTTTTTTTTTATATATATTCCATATATATTTCTTTTTAATTTTTTCTAACACCAACAACCAACAATCACCTGAACCATCCAAATCGAGGAGCATTCTCATAAATGAATCTTCTGCAACATTTGCTAAATCGCCCAATGCTCGATATCTGCCTTATCTCACCTGGGATCAGATTATAGAACTTTGGCGCCAGATAACCAATATACCTATGACTTATATTTTTATTTACATTTGGCAAAACTAAATGCCCATTCATTCTATTTCTGGTTTCATAGGAATGATTTATAATTTTTTTTAGATCTGAAGATTTATGAACATAAATACATGAAAACAAGATATACAAGGAGCGAACATCAAATATTTCATCAGAATACAATAATTCAGTTGAAAACCTCTTTTTTTTCCTATATATAACCTTCAATATATAATTCTGCACTACGTTTAGCTGCTTCAGAGAGCTTCTGTATAAACCACCCCACACGATTATGCCATACCTTATTAAAGACTCGACCAAGGATTTGTAGACATTAATTAAAAGGTTTTTGCTGAGAATGTCTCTCAATAAATAAAATTTATGTATTAATTTTCGAATGTTAGAGGTCAGTTTCAAAACGTGTTGGTCCCACTTCAAATGTTTGTCAATAGTTATTCCTAAATATTTAGTAAAAGGTACTTCTTTAATGGTTAGGGCTTCAAGGTTGATAGAATTAAACTCGGGGCGATTTGCAGCAGTTATGGAGAAAGCTATGTAATGAGTCTTATCTACATTTAAAGTGAGTTTAAAGGAGTCCAACCAGTGTTTCACCCTTAATAAACCTTGTGTTGCCAAATCCCTGGTTTGGGCCCAAGTATCTCCCGAAAAAATCACAACAGTATCGTCAGCGTATGATATCAACGAACCGTTTTCTATGAATAAATTCGTCAGAGAATCTATATAGGCAATAAAGAGAATTGGACCAAGTACTGTTCCCTGTGGAATTCCTATCTTTACATTTAAAGGATTGCTGTGAGTCGTGCCAATTTTCACAACTTGTTCTCTATTCGTTAGATAGCTCACAAAGACATCCAGCACAGCTCCCCTCACTCCATACATGTTTAAAACATTCAAGAGGGAGGCATGGGGAACCGTGTCAAATGCCTTCGCGAGGTCTAAGAATACAGCAAGACACTTTTTGTTGTTATCAAGGTTGTGTGTTAATGATCTTGTAAGTTCATATACAGCATCCGATGTGCTTAAGCCACTGGTGAAGCCAAATTGTCTTTTTGAAAGAATATTATTTTTTTGTAAAAATTCAACCAATCTATTTTTTAGGCATTTTTCGAATATTTTTGCGAAGTTATTGATTACACTAATCGGACGATAGTTATTTATGAAAGTTTTTTCTCCTGATTTAAATATAGGTGATACAACAGTCATTTTAAAATGTGCAGGCACTTTACCAAATTTGAAAATTAGATTTATAATATGTACTAGAGGGGTAGTTAGATAATTATGAAAACGTTTAATGAATCTAGAGTCCACTGCATCAATGCCAGATGCGCAATTGTTTTTTAATGAGTATATTTGTTCAATTATTTCATTTCTATTAACAGGTTTGAGATACATAGAGCCTGAGGGGCTAGGTAAGGAAGCTTGATGCAACTGGAATCCATCAACAGGGCTTTTTATTTTTTCTAGCATGTTTACTCCAACATTCACAAAATAATCATTGCAATAATTTGCCATGTCAATATTATTTAAAAAATCATTGCCCTGGTCCTTTATCTGTAAACTGTTTTTATCTTTTATGGGATTTTGATTTGTGGCTTCATTTATGACTTTATACATTTTTTTTAAATCCTTTCCACTGCTTTCAATTTTTTTTTTGAAATAGTCACATTTACATTTGTATATTAATTTATTAAGACAATTTCTATATTTTTTGTATCTCTGTTCATGATCAGTGTTGAAATATTTTGCAAGCTGCTTTTTCATTTTGTCCCTATGCCTTATTGATGTGACAATAGCAGAAGTGATCCAAGGTTTTATTTTTTTTTCTTCTTTATACCTTACAATTTTAATCTCTTCTGAACTTTTGAGCGAATTTTTTATGATAGCCATGAAGTTCTCAGTGGCGATTTCAACATTATTTGTTTCAACTATGGTTTCCCAATCCTGCCCACTCAGTACCTCATCTAGCTTCTCATAATTAATTCTATTTATGGTTTTCGTGATAAATGTATTTTTTTGGGCAATTGTGGACTCTCCATGAAAATAGAGAAATGTTGGATAATGATCGGTAATGTCAGAGTTTAAAATATAGGAATTGTGTTTGATTGAATTAAATATTTGTTTTTTCCGTATGAATATGTGGTCTATACATGAACTGGTCATAGCTGTTACTCGTGTTGGGCCATTTATACAGGATTCAAAACCATAAGATAGCAAAAGAGACAAGTAACTGTTGGTGTCAATACTTTCTTCAGCTAATATGTTTACATTCAAGTCCCCTATGAGTATATCAATATGATTTTCAGTGTTACCCGAAAAAAATTCATCCAAGTCCTCCAGAAAAAATGATAACACGGTAGAGGGTGGTCTATAAACACAAGTAACACTATATTTAATATTTCCTAGACTAAGAGTAAGTTTACTTAAAGTAACGCCAGACTTAACATATTTGGTATTTTTGATATCTGCTACGTTTAAATTTGTACTTACGAAAATAACCATTCCATCATTCTGGTTAAAATCACCCTGACTATAAAACATATTAAAGCCATCAATGTTATATAAATTATCTGTGATTTGCCATGTTTCACTTAATACAATAATATCACAGGATAACAACTTATAAGCTTCCAAAAATATTAGTAATTGATCAAAATTTTTGTTTATACTACGTATATTGAAGTGTATTATATTTAATAGTTTCTTTTTTATGTCTATTTTCGTACTCACTATGTCGCAATTTGTACTTGCTTGACCGGGGTAATTGTCCATTAACTCGAGCTCTTGTAGAACCTCCATTTCTTGAGAACTAGCAGCCATTTCCTTCTCCATAATCAATTTTATTTCTTAATACTTTTATTTGATACTCATATGATGGACAACTCCAGTCACTGGCTTCGTGATTCACATCATTAGCAACATTAAATTTTGTATTAGCTGTCATACAGTTTATACACCTCTTCTGCGTCTTCGGACAATCTTTAACTGCGTGATCACCAGCACAGTACTCACATCTGATTCTTTTGGTGCATTCATCATTCTTGTGGAAAAACTCTTGGCACTTGAAGCACCGTTGAATGGTAATGTCTTCATAAATTGGGTAGCGTTCCCAACCAATGAAAATCCTTTTGATACTCATGAATTTGTGGAATAGAGTCGGAGAACACTCTCCAAGTATTGTGTAGGTATCATTTTTTTTATTTTTCTTGAGAAATGTTACGTCTAGCTCATCATCTGTGTTTATAAAATGATTCTGCTCACGTATATGAGATTCAACATAATCTTTATTTAAGTCATCTTCATTATTTATTGTGTAATTGACTATTTTAAAGCGAGGTTTCCTCATTTTTGTAATTTGTACTTCATAGTCCTGTAGTTTGCTTTCAGCTTCTTTTTTAAGTGTCTCAATATCCTTTTTATTTGAACATTTAATGAGAAGATTTCCATTTTTTGTGCTTCTTGTCCCAGTTACACATATTTTTAGTTCAGCAGGTTTAATGTATTTTTGCAGATCGCGTTTGGTTTTATCCACATTTTGTTGTCTTTTAGGCCTAATTATGAGGTTGGGAATATTGATTTGTTTGTTCACTTTTATGGTATCATTCTTTTTTATTATGTCGCTGAAAAGAATGTGATCATCATTATTGGATTTTCTTGATTCAAAATCGTTTATTTTTTGTCGCAAAAGTGATATTATTTCTTCTTTGCTTTTTATTATTTCCTCCTTATCCTCTATTATATTCTGAAGAAGATTGTGAGTGTTAAGTTTTACACACTTGGGACATTCAAATTTTAAAACACGTTCGCATTTTAACTCCAACACTTTTACCTCAGAAGCTGACAAATTCCCACACGCCTTGCATATTCCTGTTTTGCAATTATCACACTGAAATATTGACTTGAATCCGGTTTTACAGATATCGCATTCCATTTTTTAAACGGTGCCGCACAATTGTAAACAATGGCAACACTGTTTATTCATAGTCCATAAGGCTGCGAAGGCTGTCGTGAAGTCAAAACCAAATGGCACGGAGCTGCTTGTTCAAAGAATTATGCTTTTTATTTGATAATCGCGTAATGCTATCGTCACTTTTTTCACACTACACTTTTGTCGTACGTTGACAATTAATTGTTCACTTTTTTTTGTTTTAAATGAGCACTCTTTATGACCAAATCAAACAATTTTAGCGCCATAGGATTATGTTGCTGAACCATACACTGTTGCATTCAAAAATAATAGGGGTGCCATTTGAAAAAATGATGATGATGATTTTGTCAGGGGCATTTTTTTATATTTTTGAAGAGAGCTCAACTTGCCATTGATCGTTTTTTTTTGTTTCAAATTTTCATTTCTAAAAATAAGAAAGTTATGGCCTGTAATGATGATTGTGGGACACCCTGTACATCGATATATATCAGAAAATTCGAGTGAACCGTACTCTATACTTTGAGTAGTTGCAATCCGCTCTAGTGAGATAATTGTCTTTTGTTTTGGAAAATTCCTACACGTGTTAATACTGTCCCTGATAATCCAGTGTGACGTCACAAATACCTAGCTGTAACTTTGAACCGCCCTAACTCGAAAATAGACCAACGTAGCAAGATGCGGTTTAAATATTTATTTTTAGATTTTTTGCTCTAAAACTTTCATTTTTGGGTCACACCCCATTTAAGCGGGTTTAAAACATATTCAAGCGTTGCGATAATTTTTACTGAAAATAAGGTGTAGGCATATTTCAGAAACTAGTAGAGATAGAATGGGTCACTTTCACATTTTTCATAAACATATTTAATTATTCTTCAAGCCATTCTAATACTATCTGTATACTTTTGTTCCAAAAAAAAGCTTATTTTTGAACATAAAATTATTTAAAAATCGAACTTTTAAGCTGCCGCGAAAACGCTGGACCGGTGTATGACGTCACAAACCGGAAAATCAGTGAAAAATGCAAAATGCATTAGTACATCATTACACAACTCATCACCTAGAAACTGTTTTCGTCCTTTACTACGTTATAAAAAAATAAAGGATAGGTATAATCGTTGACCTCATTTAAGTTTCGCATTTTTAAATGTGGCAACAAAATCATGAATATCGGCTTTAACCAATGAGAGGGCGTTTCCGGTCACGTGATTTTTTTGTTAAAATTTTCCATTTTTATTTATTAATTTATTTAACAATCTGACTAAAATCTTGCAAAATATTGTTCATTCTCGGTTGCGTTCATGTATCTGCCTCAAAAAATATCATAATTTGCCACATTCCCGGCACGTGAAAGTGGCCCATTCTGGAAATTTGGAATCTAAGCTGTTAGTTAGTTGAAACTAATCCAAAAATCCCTAGTTACTGAACGAGCTTAATCGGGTTTTGGAGATATGCAAGCGTTGCGATACTTTTTACTAAAAATGCGAAATAATCCAGTTTTTTGCTTATAACTTCTCAACAAAGTTGAAGAACTTCAAAAGTACCTATTCGATCCAATAGTCACTGAGATATATAATAGTGGTTCAAAAATTCAAGTCATTTCCCAGATCATCAAAAGCAGCATAAAAAGGCAGGTTTTTGCCATATAACTGAAATTAAGTACTACTAAGCCCAGGTCCGTTCAGCTATCGATACTTGTCAGATAGATAGGCGAGTTTAGCACGGAAAACATCATAATCAAAAGCAAAAAAGTTTTATTTTCCAGAAATAATTATTAAAATTGGATACAATAAAAAAAATAATTGAGGGGCACAGTAGACTGTGAGTGCAAGTGAAAAAGACGAGGATAAAATATATTTATCCCATGCTTGGTTTGAATTATGTTCAGACAAGAAGAAATTTTTGACAAGTTTAGATGTTTTTTGTATCTTTGAACCACTGTATCTCGGTTACTATCGAGTTAAAGAATATTTTTGAAGGGTAAATTTTGAAGTAAATTTAATTTTCATCAACTTTATAAATAGGTATATTCCACTAAAAACGCATAGTTTAAAAGTTATAAGCAAAAATCTGAAAAAGTTCGGAAATGTCTAGGTCTTTCGACTTCCCCTCAAGTTAGCACAGGCTCCTCGAGGTCGAAAACTTAAATTCTACTCGACAGACTATCCACAAACGACATGCCAAAATATAATTAACTTCTGAATACTTTCCAGTTACCCCCTTTATTTATTACGTGCCTGCTGGCCTAGTAGTATAACAAATACACTTTCGTTTCAGATAAATTAAATACCTAATTTCGATTGAGTGCAAAATGTCCATGTCGCATGTCCAGAAACTGTCAGATTCTGAATTGTGTGAACGCGGCTTGAGCGGTTTTGAAGATATTTAAGCGTGGCAGTACTTTTGACTAACCCTTGAACTTTGTTGACTAGCTAGAAACAACTAAACCGAGAGCAAATACGCCAAGTACCAGGCCAAACATATATGTAGTAACTACATGGAAAAAACATTTCACAATTTACGTTGCCAACATTTGCTTTCGGGGTAGTTGTTTTTAGCTGGTCAACTGGAACCTACGGAATCGTGAAATTAGGGAAAACACGCAATCGTGAAAAAATATCGGTAATTTAAAGCTCTTCTGGTAAACGATTTTCTTAGTGGATTTTTTACCAGAAAACAAGTTCACAAACGGGTTTTCTGAAAAGAATTTCATAGTTTTGTATTTGGAAACCAAGAGCGACACAAGAATAATTACTGTATTACTGACTTTGTAATCGGAAAGCAAGTGCACAGAGTGATATTTCTAGAACATTCCATCCAATTCCAATGAAGATGGTTTCAATCCGTTAACAGGAACAAACCAGACTCGCGAAAATCCTGGCAATTGGACCTCTTGGTCAGGAAGTTGGAACCTTTCGCCAATGTGTTCAGGAGAAACTGTATATAACAGTTGGAATGTAACTAATGTCTCGGCTTTGCCTGCAACCGTTATTAAAGTTTAAGCATATAATGGTGAGACATCGGGGGCGATGTGCAGGCGTCATTTCGAGACTGTGGCAATGGCTTATGGTTGGAGCTGTGTTGACGTGGCTATAAAGTAGAGTTGTTCTGCGTACAGTGACTGAAAAGAAAAAATGAACATGGTGAAACAGAAGTAGATTTGTGATTTGGAAATATTGAAAGCAATCACACCGTACTATTTGGTGATATAGATGATGAGTTTATTATGGGTACGCGGGCCAAAATAAGTCAGCATGATCTTGCGTTCGACAACCAGTCGTGCTGAAATTTGGCAAAAAAGAGTATGTACTAAGAATCCAATTTCCGTCACCGGCAAAGCTACAAAATCTGCGAAAACAGACGTCAACATCAAAAAAATTATTGGGAATAAATACCTCGTTAAGGAAGCCCTGATAAACTCACAAGAACTTATACCTTTCCGAATAGCAAACCTTTGCTCCAACACTATCCAAATCAACAAGGACGATGAGCCATCAAACTTTGACAGGCTCATAAGCCTGTCAAAGTTTGAACCTGCAGAGCATCAGGGAAAGAAAGGAAATAATATTCATCTAGCGACCTTTGATGACAATTCAAGACATGGCAGCATCTATCCTCTAGGTAACTGAACTCAATAATTCGTTAGTGACAACAAGGATATCTTTGAAGATAAAAATGGCGAAACTGGTGAGACGACCACGAGAAGACTTTCCACAAAACAGTAGAAAGTATCCTTGTAGAGGAAGTGGTTGAGAGTCTTCAAGGCCATGTTCGTCGCCCATGGTATTAGTAACCATAAAAGGATCTACCAGATTTTGTTTCGATTACAGAAAGCTCGCCGATATCACTAATAAAAACATTTGTAAAGCGCATACTGGCAGATTGGCATTACCGACAAAGACAAAGGGAAGACACTGTTCTCCTGAAAGTGGTTTTTATCAATTCAAGAATATTTCTTTTGGACTCTCTAACGTCCCTGCTACTTTTGCTGGGGGAAATTGTATTACAGGGACTTACTTGGAGAATATGCCTTGTCTACCTGGATGATGTGTTAGTAAGTTTAGTGCCAGGAAAAACCTATGATGAACACTTCTAAATTTACAAGCCGTATTTACTCGTATCCGTAAGGCAAAACTCCGATTAAATGACAAGAAATGTTCACTCTTTAAACAGCGCCACAGATCACCTACATACACATGCGAAAGAGCGGCGAATTCGTGGTTCAAGGTTGATTTGGAGGACATACGCTGGCCGCACCAATAAATTTTGAACATATTCATTATATAAATGCGGAAGCTCAATAATATAATATTATTTCTTTAATTGGTTCACATACAAAAAAAAATATTCTTTATATAAACAACAAGAAATCATGCGATCATTGACGCAAATATTCTGCGGCAGATCACAAAAAATATATATCAGCTTCCAAAATGGGTCAATATTTTATTTTTATTTTTATTTTAGGTTGATTTTTTCTAACAAATAACTCAATTACATATCATATATTGGGAAAGTCTGTTCACAGATGAATTAAGTGGATTTTGCTCATTTCAGTTTTAAAAAATTGTTCGAAACATCATCAAAAAACGACAAAAATATGTTTACTTTGTTTTGGGCGATAGTTTCAGATTCTTTGGAAAAATAAACACATGTGTCACGTGAATATTTTTGTAATGCTTTATTTATCAAATA